TGACCCAAGGGAATGAGTCTAGTTAAAGTCAAAGATAATCTTTCCATTGTTTACAATGGTCACCTAAAAACCTCTGAAGTGACTGTGGAAATTCTTCCAGGAACATGCTCGTGTTCCACATTAAAATTGGCTGAGTCATAAAATTCATTGAAAGAGTTAAAATTAGACTTATATCCAAATTTTAGAGAGGAAATTTTTTTTAAGATATATATTAAAAAAACCATTCTTGTCAAAGACTTCGTCTTTCAGAAAAAAAAAAATTGAAATAAGATATTCAAATAATTTTTTACATTGCTGGGTAAAATATTTTCCAACAAGGGAAAAAAAAAAAAAAAAAACCAATGTGGTTTTCTTGTAGCCAAACTAGTTAATCTTTAAATTACAAGTAATTTAGACTAAAAATCATATTGATATTTTTCTCCAAATATGTTCAGCTAGCAGTTTTACTTAATGCATTAAAATACTTCTCACTAAAAAGTAAAAGCACAAATGTTGTGCATAAAATCTGTCTCTGTTAAATATTGAATGTTTGAGACCATAGCTAACTCAAGATGCATATTAAATAGGAAGATTGAAAAAGGGTAAAAAAATGCCTCCTGTGACTTTAGAAAATATTTTCTTCTGCTGCTTGTTTGTTTCATATAAAGGTAATTCAAAAGAGMAATTTTGTTCAAAATATCAAGAGTCATTTATAAAAATTTCTCTAGAAAGGGTCCAAAGTAGAAATTACAAAGTGTGCAAAAGAGAAATCACTTGCGTCCGATATTTTTTAAAACTCCTTTTTGTACCTCAGCAGAAGTAGTCTGAGGTTCCAATAATTCGAAATATGCTAAGACTAGAGCATTGGGAAACCTACTAGCTTAACACCTGTCCAAAGTGCATACAGATGCAGATCAGATTAAATGAGAGAAGGGTGTGCCACTGGCTGTGTCCATATTGGTTTTGTTCCAGTGAATAAAAGTTGTGCATATAACATAGCTAGAAGCAAAATTTCCTTTCTCTTGCATGAGATCTGAAGAGCTTCTCACTCTCACTTCAAACCTCCTCTAAACTGGCCCTGGGGCWTGAGCTCCCAAGGAAAAGCAGAGGGGCAGATATTGACCTCTTCATTCTTGTGACCAGTGAGAGGACTCAAAAAAACTTAATGAAGTTGTGTCAGGGAGGTTTAGGTTGGATATCAGGAAAAGTTTSTTCACMCAGAGGGCACTGGCACAGGCTCCCCAGGGCAGTGGTCACAGCACAGCCTGRCAGAGCTCAGGAAGTGTTTGGACAATGCTCTCAGGGACAGGGTGTGACTTGAGGATGGTGCTGTGCAGGGCCAGGAGYTGCACTCAATGATCCTTGTGGGCCYCTTCCATCTCATCTTATTCTGTGACTCCATGATCTTATGAATTTAAAACAATGTACTATATGTAGGTGTTTTCTGAGTTTCATGAGTGATTGGCTGTCTTACAGATTGCTGCATGGCCGTCAGATTTATAGTTTGATTATAAATGTGGGAGATTTTTCTTTTACGATGCCATCAATTTTGTTTTTACAATTACTTCTTCTTGMGGACATTCTCCATAAATTAATAATATGTTAGCATAATTTCTATAAATGATGAGTTCTGCAAAAACTCTTTTGTACACCCTTACACACGTTTTTGACAGTTGAGTTTTAAGCTACCAAATGCACAAGACACATTAACCAAGATCTAATTTCACCCTTATTTAAATGCTGCTTTATCTATTGGCTCTCTAAAAAAGCAGTCAGCTTTTTAAAGGATTGTAAAACCTATATAAGGTTTGTAAAACCTATATAAGAATAGCTCTGCCTTTACCATCTTAGTTGAAGCTTTAATAAGGGACTTGTCTTGCACCTGTGTTATGCACATTCTGGTAACACTTCATAGAAAATATATTACAGAAAGTTTTATAACATAAATTTTTAGTTCATAAGTCCTATTTACTAAATTTGAGGTCTTCTGATTAGAAGTGCTTGTTCTTGATTTTACATTCATACCAGCAGATAAACATGTTAAAAGAACTGTCATTAGGAGTCAGAAAGACACCTCCCTGACTTCCCTTTAATGTCTCTGGAATGATGAACCTATTTTCCTTGCTCACTTTCCATCCAGAGAAAAATGGTCAAGTGTCTGTAAGAAAGTGTGCTTTTACTTACAGGGAAAATCTAACTGCTCTGCTAGTTACTGAGCTCTGAGTTATCAGAGCGAAGTAATCAAGAACAAGTTTGATGACATTAAGTCCATTTTTCTAAGGCCATTTTCTCTTATAGAGAAATTCTAAAAACAAAGAAAAAGATCACACAGCAACAAAATATATTTCCTAGAGCAATAATAAAGATGGGTTTGTTTTGTTTGTTTTGTTTTGTTTTGTTTTTTTTTAATACAAATAAATCATGGTTTCACCCATCATACCATGAAAGATGCTGGCCAGTAATGCAGGCAGCACTGTCTTCAAAAGTTTCACACCAAGGATCTGTCTTAACAAGGACTATGGCAACACCATGTGAAATGTTCACCGTCACTGAAGTTCCTAGGAACCATTACCAAATGTTGCAAAAAGACCCACAGACACAGCAGAATAAAAGTTGCAGAAGTACTTCCATCTTCTGGGCACCTGTCTGATCACAGCTTTCTCTTATGACTGGAGCAGCCAAGACTTAAGGCAGCCAAAACCGGCATGCATCCCCTCAAAATCTAATCAGTTTAAAYCTCACATAAAGACTGGGGACCCTCTTTGTACCATTTGGAGAACATCAACTAGAAGTTTAATAATCATAAAAATTTAATCTCTAATGAAAGGTTAATGTGTTATGGCAGATTCCTATATGAGGCAAAATATAATAGGGTTTGGAGGGCAAACGGACTCCGTTTGTCAGCAACTTGCACTTGGCTTCTGAGGCAATGGGATAATCATCTGCAGAGTGTCAAGTGGGCAGCTGCTGGTGATAGAAGAGCCTCTAAATGGTGCAGAGACCCGTGTGACCTGCTGATCCAGGAATGATGAAATAATCAGATTCCATCACTCACTGTAACGAGCTATTACCAGAGCATTTATTTTAACACTGCTCAAGGCCTATAGAACTAAGATACTGATAGGGCATGTTCCAGTGCATCTGTGATTTGCATATTTTTTTGCAAGATGAAACTTTAAATAATACTGTTATTATTTTGTCTCTCAGAGTGAGACAAAATATTGTTAAGATTGCTCATATTCCCATTTAGACCACATTCATTGACAAACACAACACATTTAGCAAGAAGTGTGAGTGGAATTGCTGTTCCCACACCAGTGTAACAATTCCTCCTGCRTCACACTGTGCTACATCTACAGCATCCCCAGTCCACAGCGAAGGAAATACCAGAAAAATGTTGTTTGCCTCAAAGAAAAGCAGGTGGTTGTTTTGGTGCTACTGCAGCTCCAACTCACCTTATTGCGAAGGGGACAAGTATCTGAACCACTCAAAATTCTCAATCACACAGGAGGTCATATTACATGACCTCACATCACATTTACCAGTTCATGCTTATTGCTCCAGTTGGGCTGTGCTGGTCTTCAAGCAACTGGATTTCTCAGAGGAAAACTAATGCATTTCAAAGAGATTTTTCTTTTTGTTAAGCAGTTTTTCCTGTCCAGCCAGGGTTCACACCAAATTTGGCAAAATCATTTGTTGGATCAATTATTATTGATATTTTTAAAAAACAGATTTGTGAAAATCTAAATAACAAATCTAAAATATGCAATATAGGGAGATGACCAGAACTTACTTATGTTTCCTTATAAGGTGCCAGAAGTTTCAAATACTGTATTTGAGAGTAAGACCTTGCAGAAATCTGCCTTAATTGTGTTACATCTGACTGTCCTTTTCTTTTACTATGATTTTCCACTTTACAGCATTGTGCAAAGCAAATGTTTCCTCCCACTGCTCTACGATAGCACTATCTTTATTGTATTTATCAAGGATAGCTCCAAAAGTATGAATCATCTAGGAAGAAGATTCACAAGTATGCATCAGGGTCTGTGAGGCATTAATTCATCCTCACTGGAGAGTGGAGCATTGGCAAAAGAATTCAATGATAGCAGAACACAGATTACATGAGGAAGCAAAGGGATTTCATAGCAACCCTYAAATTAAGTGCTGATCCAGTAATAGAAAACTCTGGAATTTAGGTTTTTGAGATTCTTTCTTGTATCCTCCCACCCCTTGCTGGGGCTTAATGGAGGAGAATGATTCAGGAAATAACTTAACTTTTCAAAGTACCATTATGATTGGTAATTGTTTGTAATATCTGCAAGGCCATMAGACATGATGAGAGTTTTAATTTTTAAATAGCAAGCATTCATTCAGCAAAAACAAATTTGCCTGTTTTCTGCTCTTTTTGCCATTCATTGGAAATTAYCCCTGTATTTTTATAAGCTCTATTTTTAATAATATTTAAGACTGAATTTTAATAAAATAAACAAAATCATAACAACTCCTCGGGGCTTTGCTCTCTGTGTGCTTCAACATATTTTGTGCACGACATCATTCAGAGTAGCAGAAGGAATCATTTAGGAGCAATGTTATTTCCCTGATATAAAGCCATTCATGGCCTAAGAATATGGAAGATAGAAAATAGGAAAGATCTTCTCATCTAATCTGAACTTCAGTGACAATGGCACTATACTTGAAAGCATTTTTCACAAGTTCTTCTAAAATTACTTAAAATTTCACACATACTGAGGCATCCACAATATTTCAGTGAACTGTGCCCCRCTCAGTCATTACTCAGTAACAAAAATATAGTTATGCCATTCAGCTGTCACCCAAGGCCTGTTTCAATGCCTTATATTTTGGTTCAAGTCAGACTAAGCACCAGTTACCTATTCTTTTCAGGTGACATACTTTATTTTAATAGCACTTGGTGAGAATGAAATTTCAAGGGGCTAAGGAACACAGTGTCTGCCTCAGGTTAAGCTTTTGACTGCTCTGACCTCCAAATTGCTTTTCAGAAAATGAGCAAGCATACGAACGTTAAACGCCACAGGATGGGTGGTCATGATGCGGAAGAGCTGAAGAACTTCTGGGAAAAGGTCATCCAAGAGCAAACTAAGCAACAAGAAGCTGAAGAGTCCAGGTTAAGCAAAAGTGCCCTGAACAAGTAAGTGGTATTTTATCTTTACCACAAGACAGCAAAGCATGTCATCACGTGTTTTAAAATAAGGTAACCYGTTATTGTACTGCTTTATTCATAGCTCAGATTGTGTTCTGGGTCTTTGGCACCTTTCCTCTCACAGCTGCTTGTCTCATATTACCATGGCTCTTCTGCATGGAAACTCAGACACCCCTCACCCTTTAAACCTCATGAGCATTCTTCAAAGGCCTTGGAGCACAGCCATGAAAAAATAAAGCACTTTGGAATTATGGCTTGTGACAGCCAGAAAATAGCAGGAATTTTACCTGGAACTGGTGGAGCTACACAAATAAATAAAATAGTATTACATTAAAGGGACAACCAACCACTTAATCTATAGAATAAAAAACCTGTGGCATCTTTSCCATATTAACAGCCCTTCACATCATATAAGCCCAAAGATAAAAGTGACACAAAAAGATTTTCTCATTCAATGGAAAAAAAGTGTCAGTTTTTCTTTTGGGGGTTTGTTTGTTTGTTTCATTTGTGGGGAGTTTCTTAACAAAGCAGTAAGAAACAACAGGGATTGCCTAGAGAAAGCTGTACAGATATCCTGTGGTATAGATACTCTGCACAAGTGTGGCGGACTGGTTCAAAATTTTGTTCAACTTGTTGCATCTCAAAAGTTTGAACCAGGGTCTCCTGCACTAAGTGAATCCCCTGACTACTACTGGACAAAGGGCAAGAAATACCATGTCTTATGTGGCTTCCTGTTTGTGCTTTCCTCCTGAAATTAACAAAGGTTTTCCCACATAAACTTCTTTGAAAAATGGGACACTTCTTTGAAAAATGGGACTCAGTTTGATGTCAATAAATTGGAAAGTGCTGCTAAGGGCAGTTTGGGCAGTTTCTTGAGAAAGGATTCTTGGTACTTTGATGTTAGTGCCCAAGGAGGAAAGCATTGTCATCATTAAAGTCTTTAAAATCAAGATCTGGGCAGGCCTTGTGACTCAAAAAAGTCAGATGTAGACAATCTTGCTTTCAGTATCCTACTCCAGATAGTCACTAGCATTCCCAAATCCCAATAACAAAATTGCTGGAGAAAAAAATACATGTTATAAAATCCAGGAAGGTGTTCAGCCTGACTGGAAACATTTATCATACTAGATCACAAAAGACTACAATGAGAAGACAGTGCAAACAAAGTGCAATTTGTGGTTTAGACAACATTTTTGACTTCACAAAACTGAAAATGTTAAAAGATCTTCTCTGAAAAGCAGAAATGAAATGCAGTGAAAGAACCTTGAATATGTGTTAATGTACATGTTCAGTATGTCCTAACTGACCCATCACAACAGGAATAGACCCGAGCAAGTTCCTTCAAAGTCACTTGCCCAAGCAAAGTCCAGATTGTTCACAAAGTGTTCTCTAATATGAAAAAAAAAAAAAAAACAAGAAAAAAAAAAAGATACTCTCAGGATGTAATAAACACTTTAAACACTTTCACTGCAAAACATACCTGTCTACTACCTCAGCTAAGAGGCACTTGGGAGAATGATGTAGTTTTGCATAAAGGCAAGTGCTCCCTTTGTGGCATGTAGGACACTGATTGATAAGAAACACCAGGATTCTCAATAGCAAGTTTCTCCTAACTCACTGCACCTATTTTTTTGAAGCTTAACTATACACACAAAAGATTTTTGAAGACTAGGTAATTTAAAACACAATGTAAACCSGAACTCAGAAGCCAAACTAATACAAACACCCATGTGAAACACTGAACTACTGCTGAGTTATTCTCCGATGAAATAATTGGCTGCTATTCTTTTCATCACAACAAGGCTAATATAAAAACTCATATATTYTATGATGCATTTGGCATTACCATACAATATCTAATCTTATAACATTGTAAGTTCTGCCTGCTCTTCTCCACAATATTTTACAGTAGAACTTGAGGGGATGAGGGAGAAACTATCTTTTTAAATTTACACATTGAATGACCTTACTGCATAGGCAGTACTTCTGTGTGGCTTTGAGAATACCCCAGAGGGAAAAACAGAGTTCTTCACAGTGACAGTATTTCAGCAGTTGTTTGACTCATTCGGAATCCAGCAATGTCAACCACTGATAGCATCAGCACTATCCCTTTCTCCCCTGCATTCCCAATCTAGCAAGCTAGAGGGATGTGTAATTGGTAAATAAATACAGGACAAGTGCTCTGGTGATGAAAGAGAGGAAAGCTTCAACCCTGCTGAAAAGCCCTGGATATATTTGAAGGATTTGGCTCAATAATTGCTAAGCACTTGTACTCTCTTTACAGACTTCGCCAYGAATGGACTCTGCGGCTGGAAGGTCGAGTCAGGCAGGTCCAGGCGCACATGAAAACCCAGGATGGACAAATGACGCCACTCTCTATCGAGGCTCTTCCCTCACCRGATAAAACTGTTGCTTAAAGTTGCTGTGCAAACTCAGCAAGCATTGGGCCTGATTCTGACTTTCTGTATGCACATGTAAACCAGCAATTACACTGCTGAACAACCAAAAGGTCAGATTCTGCCCCTTTTCCAAACTATTTACTAGAGCTACTACTAAAGTCCTATTGAAATTCAGTGCAAGAAAAATGCCACAGGAAAAAGAGCACAAAGGAAGAGATGAGAAGCAGACAATTCTAATTTTCCATGATATATTGTTACTGTGTTGTATCAGGACTCTTATCTAACTGCATTTTCAAGTGACACCAATGTACTGCTAAGAAACGGGGTGGCTTGTTTAATAGGAATAATATATTCAGATAGCTGCATGCAAAAATGCRTATTTCCATTTACTCAGATCACAGAGTCTGGCTTAATGCAGACATAAGATTTTCTGTCTCTTGATGAGCCACAGTGGAAGGAGTTAAGGATTAGCCTGATCAGCTGGCCAGGAGGAGAAATAGACTCTTTAATGGAATGGAGGGGAAAGAACTTTTCTGATCAATATGTAAGAACACTTACAGATCTTAATAATTAAATGAACAGAGAAGATGACTTTGGCTTTCTTGGAGTAGGTGAATAAAAGACTACTGAGTTTTTGAGCCAGTTTGACAAATATTAGAGTAGTAAGAGCAAGTCAGTGTGAGAGTTTGAAATGGAGGGCAGCAAGAGAAAGTCAGTGTGAGAGTTTGAAATGGAGGGCAGCAAAATCAGATCATCAAAACAGCACAGAAATACAATGCAAAGTTTCACTCGCCATGCCTGGGGTGCACTAATCCTAAAAATTGCTGCATCTTCTTCTGGGTTAGGYGAAGCAGAGGCAGGAAAAACTAAGCACAGGGTAATAACAATGTTCCCTGATTACCTGTACGTCCATGCATCTAAATACCAATCTTTTAGATTAAGCCATTTATTTCTTATCTCTTCAATTAATCTTTGTTATGCAAGAGAAAATTCRTAAGTCTAAACAGCAGTTTGTCTCTAACAGTATTATGCCAGATAGAAATTTACTTTGACTCTTTGCTCATACTAAAGAAGTAGATAAGAACACATTTGATAAATTTCAAAACAGAACAAAAACCACTTKAACCTCTCATAAATGGTTTTTTTGTCCTTCTAAAACAATATTTAATTAAAACACAAAGTTTTACTGAATGTTCTCACCTTTTCAAAGTGATATTCTCCCACAGAAAAAGAAAAAGCTATCACATAAATGTTGTTATTCCATGAAGGATTAAAGCAATTAAAATTTTATAAAATGTTTTTCTGATAGTGAAAACTCAAGGGATTGCATTATCAGTTTCTTTTCATAAAAACTGACCCAAAAAACATGCAATTGTTTCAATGGCTGTTTTACATTAGAAAAGCATTGCTGAAAAATAATAAAGYTGTAGCTGCTTTTGTCCTGCAAGGCTGGTCTTCCTCTTCTGCAAGCACTTATTTCCGACTATTCTCTAAAAAGTTCTTTTCTGTAACCAAGTGTCCAAGGACAGAGTTAATTCTTTGCAGTGAGGGATCAGAGCCTGGAGCCCTGTGGTTGTGTCTGTGTGTTATTTTATACCACCTCAAGTCRTCTCTGGGTGGTGGAATCATCTCGAGGGCTGGAAGTACAGGGATTCTCATTTCTCCAAAGAAGCAGAGAGCAACTTGGGGACCTTGGGTGGCTTGGGGTTGGGGAACTCGATGGCCATTTTTAATTGCCTTGGGGTCACATGCRTTGGTCAGAATCTTTTTTCATTTAAATAACCCTCTCTTTGAGCACTTTTGCTATTAGCATTGTTTTTTTATCTCATTACTGTTTGTGATAAATTCTCCTTATCACTAGTCCTAATCTTTGCCTTTCATGTCTCACCAGAGGTTTGTGATTTTCTTTTTAATGGGAGTACTAAATTGAGGAATACTATGATCCCAAGGAAAATGTTCTCTTTGGTGAGGTAGATCAAACACAGCCTGAACTAGCTGCTACTTACAAAATCATACTTTTAGTAGTTTATATTAGTGTAGCTGTAGTTAAAGGATATAGAGAAGGTCTATTGAAATGGAGAAATGCCAGATTCCCATCTTATAGAAAGCCAGATCTRTTAGATTTGTGACTTTAACCACTGATTTATGATGTTATGCCACCCACAACAGTGAAGYTTACCCCTGCTCCATGTCCGTGTGACAGGAGAAGATCCAAGAAAAGCTGGCTCAATAAGCATTTATTCTTTTACATTTAATGTCAATGTTTTCAATTATTAGGAACACTTATGTCAGGGCACTCTTTCTGATTGTTCATGAGCTTATACAGGGTAAGATACAGGGAAAAGGCTGCACAACTAGATGTGCAATTCACGCAGCGCAATTTTCAGGATTCCCCCAAAAACTGCCTAAGGTAGTTTACCTTCACAAGTGTGTGGAACCTATTTCAGTTGTGRAAGGATTTCTGATGCATCCACTGCAGCCAAGAATGTGCAAACCACAAATGTGAAAAACCAAAATGCTCCCACACTTTGCAAAAAWCATCTCTGTGAGGTGCTCAAGTGCATATGCATTAGTCATGGTTACCTCTTCTAGCACACATTTTACATGACAGCGGTAACCTGACACCTCCCTGGTATTGAACATCAAGTGTTTCTGTTCCCAAATGCAGGTGTTCATCAATTTTCACTGCTATTTCACATCCAATCAGACTGAGACAGGTATCAGGTAGCAGAAATAATAAAGTCTAGCAGTCAGATGAGCCAGATACGCTGCTTGCAAATTGCAAAGCTGAAGGTAGACAGGAAGGTGGCAGATAATGTTTTGTCATTTTGCTTTATTCACTGAATTGGTGGCATTCTGGCCTGAACTTAGGCATTTCATACATAACTGAAAATGTTAACCTTGGCTCTTAAAAAAAAAAAATCCCAACTAAACAAAAGTCTGTTCAAGTTGAGTTGTTATGTTTTAAAAAACTATCTCATTCATATACATGGCTGCCATGGAAAAAAGGATATACAGTGAGCATAAGCTGTTGGCAGAGTAGCAACTCTGTCACATACAGCATTCTTTTCCTCCCATGTTCCCAGTTTCTCCATCTTTCCAATGGGAAAAGAAATCAAATGAAAATTTAGATTACAGTAACTATATTAAGAATGTTGGAYTAGTAATTTGGGAAGAGAAACTAATTACCTAGATTTTTCTTTCCTTAAGGTTTATTACTTTGCCAAATAGAAAATTAACTGAGTGAATATTGAATCTAATCAAATTAATTCAATAATATTCTTCATAATCAGTACCACCCTGACCCTGCACTAGCAAGACATTATCATGTCTTACATCAGCATATAAAACAGCCCAGCTGGCACTTGGCTAAGTCAGTAAACAACTAAAATTGTACAGGATAGGTCAGTGACTAACATTTTGGTCATGGGACTTTAACTTTATGATATATGATGTAATAGGTGTGGATCATGCACCTAAGCTGGCACACTGATGTCAGCTGTGGAGCACCCACTTAGCATGCCCAGATTTATGTTCATGACAGACGTGGTGAGCACAATCTATGCCCGTTCACACTGCTGCTCTTTGAGTGCTCTCTGATCCACAGCRCGGTGACTAATGCCTGAGAAACAGCAGTTTGCTTTCTTAAGCTAACTCTGAGCTGTGGCCAGCTGCTGGAGCCTGGCTTGCTTTAATCAAAGCAGTCTAAAGGGTGACTATAAACCACATTAATCTGCAGTCTGACTTCATTTAGACACCATGGTAAAGCACTCACAAAATCAGTTATAGGCAGGATGCAGCAACTCAACACCTCTCAGCTGCTCTACTTGAATTTGCACTCAAATTCAGAGCAGCAGAGAYATTTTTTAAGCTAAACCCTTGACTRTCTGCACRCACCACATACTGGTTTGGAGCCAATTTAATGCATGCAAACCAGATGTCTTTCAGAGAAACCAAAACCAGACCAAAAGCCATGTTCCAAGCCATGAGAGAACCCTACCCTCTAAGGATCTGAGACAAAGCATCAACTCTTCAGACAGTTTTGTGACACCTGTATAATGGGGACATTCAGCCCAAGTGATGACATCAGTTTGAGTCTGATGCAACCCCTGAACTGTGCATGGTCTGGTGTGGGGAYGTCACCAGCAGCCACTTTGGTCTGCTGAGCTGCTGGGTAAAGTGCTGAGTCACTTTCTAATGTAGATGAGTATAACCCAACCAAAACAATATAGAGGGAATCAGAGCACRTACATTTCATGTAGTTCTAAAGTCAGAGCTCAGCTGAGCTCAGGAATGATAATTTAATTAGACAGACATGCAGATATGCTAGTGCACACAGCTAAGCACAGTCAACTCACCCACTGGAGCYGCATGTGCTGGAAAAGAACCTCCCCAGACAGAATAGGTCGTGCTTCTGATATCATCAAACAGCTATGTATGGTTCATTTCTACAGTTAAATGATAGGAGTATGAGGATAATTACCAATTTTCTAGACCAAATGTTCCTACTAATTACTAACTTCCTTCATCCTGAGGGAGACTGTTCTCTACCTCGCCCAATAAACTGCACCACAGTATGAATAAGGAATGGTAAATCGCATAAAAGCACTTCTGAATTGAAAAAGGCATCTGTAGATAAACAAAATTAACAAAAGAGTAGCTCTAGAATATCTTCTACTTCCTGAGAGCATTTCTATTCATGAATTAAGCATCACTACATTATTTCTCATCAAGAACAGGATCTATCCACAGGGTTATGCATATAAGATAAAACTGAAGACAAAAACCTCAGTAGTCAGGACAGACAATTCAAAAACCTACTTGTTATTCCCAGCTCTTCCAGCTGTGTGTTTTTATCTGTGTGTTACTTAGTGGCCAGTGTTATAAACATATTTCAAGCTACGAAGGAGAGGACTTCCCCTATGAAGCAGGGAAAATTCAAGCTCCAGAAATGTCAGGCTGACAAACAGACCGAAAAAGAATTAAACTACCAGGGAAGCCAAACTTAACAGTAGGTCATCACGTGCTACCTCCTTAATTAGCTGTGCTTGTCTCAAGCATCATTCCTTAAATGAACTAACGAAATTTAGATGAACTCTCCTGCGAGTGTCTAATGGAATGTGAGAGACTATTGGCCTTACCCAGTAACCAGAGCCAGTGTTCAAACTCAACAATATGACTTCAGTGGCTCACAACCAGGGTCACTGCTTTTTCCACAGCAAACAGCAGCAGCAGCAAGGAGAGTTACAGTACTAATTAAAACAATCATCTGACAAGAATCAAAGGGGCAGGAAAAAAAAAAAAACAGTAACAAATCTGAAAGATAATATTTGGTTTAGCTATTTGGCTAATTCTTTAAAAAATAGTCTGTTTGGTAGATTTCCACTATGATTGCATTGCATAACCGACATAAATATTGGTGACATTTGATCTGAACTGTATCTTCACAATGTATGTTGGTGATTCAGCCATAGGCAACAGTTCAAAAAGTTGAATTAATATGAAAAAATTCTTTATTGTATTAGATTTAATGCCTAAATAAAAGGAATTGTATCTGCAAAATACTGATATATCAAGCTCAGTCTGTATTGTCTCTTCACAAATAAGCAGTAGAAAATTACRTTTTCAAATAGATTTTGCTCTAATTAATGATATTTTTCTCCCTCTAATGTGCTATTCTATTTAACAACTGCATCATTATTGTTAAGGGTTTGAGGTTACACTGCAGGCTATGAATCTAATTAGGCATTACTGGAGTGGTCAACAGTGTTATTTCAGAAAAAYCTTTTGAAAAATTACCTATCTTTGCCCTGATGTCTTAATTTTTTTTTTCAGGCTGATGGTGACCCCACTGCTGCTTTTCTTAGAGAAAATTGCTCTATAAGATTTTTGCTASTGCTTTTATGTATCTTAATAAGTTAACAAATCAACACAATTTTTTCATTTGTACATGTAAAAAGTTTCAAATAACAATGTTGTCTCATTAATTGCTGGATATTATTGCAGCAGGGCTCTTGTTAGAGTTCAGTTCATGATAAAGTGGTAACTAATGAATCAATACTTTTCAGCTTTTGGATAGCACATGAGTTTACTGATTTTGTCGATACTGCCTCAGTCATTAAATACGTATTTGTAATAATAAGACAAACAGTCACTGAAAATAAGCCCTAGAAGCAATAAGGGCCYTCTAATCTAAAATATCGGAAACAGCAGTTATTATCCACCATCTCAAATGAACATTTAATAACCTGGAACTAAATCCCTTCAGGCTCCATTTATGATATGTACACACTTTCTGCTACAGTGATGAAAAATACTCCATTTTCTCAGAACTAATGACCCCTCTATCACATGTACTAGAGGACTGYGGAGTGAGTCTATCAACAAACTAACAGAATGCACACATGTTTAAAAAGTTTTATGCTTAAATCACAGGCAA